GCATGAAGGGTAGATGGGAGTGTCACTGATACGAAGGACTACACGGGAAACTCTGTCAAGAGTGTCTTGATCCGAATTCTGATTTCGGGATTGATTTGGCACGAAATCCACCGCTCTCAGCAATTCAATTCATATGATTGTTATTCGATAAAATAGATACTGATACAGAGGATCATTTCTTGATAAAACAGCGGAAGCGCAAACGCTTTATTATATTGTATAAAAAATTTTATTTACTTGTAAAAGTTTTATTCTCTCTCTCTCTCTCTCTCTCTCTCTCTCTCATAATTAATTTCATTTCTTTTAAACAGAAGAGAGTATTAAGTATTATTTCTTTATTAACTTTTTTAATTAATTACAACATATTGAACTTCATTTTTTTAACTAATAATACATTTAAAAAACAATTAATTAAAAAAATTAATTTTTTTATATCTTACATATGACTTTTCTTGTACAATATATGAACTATAATTTAAGAAATAAAAATAAAATATATAGAAATACAATAAATGTTTTATATTTTATTTATATTGTTTATATATGTTTGTTATATATGTCATTTTTTACTATCTTTATTAAGATAATTTTTTAATAATGAAACTACGGCAGTTGCAACTTGTGTAAATTTTTCTCGCGCTGCATTTTGTTAAACTTTAAAGTCGAATTAGGCATCGCTTGCATAACTTCAATCACCTTCATGCATTTAAATTGCCTGTCTGAGCATGTTCGCACGTGTTAACACATGTTCGGTTCTCCCTACGCATATACATACAAATCGCCCTCATTTTATTGTTATATTTGTTATATATCTTCAACAAAGATATACTAGCATCATTTTTGGTTACAATATTTCTAAAAGAATATGAAATGTAAAAGAATTTGAAGAATATGTTGAAAAGAGAATTTAAATCTTTTATGTATTTTACATATTTATATCATTTAGAATGTTGAATATACATAGAATATCTCGACATTATTGAATATCTTTTCCAAATTTAAAACCGATTTTTCTTTGAAGAAAAGATTGACATATTTATTATTTTTTAAATTAAACAATCCATTATTCATAAATACCAATTCAAGAAAAAAAATAAAAAAGCTTTTAATTTAAAAATCTAATTAAATTAAAAAATGTTTTTTATTAAATTAATTAATTAAAAATAAACCCGAATTCTAAATTGAAAGAAATGATTCCAACTAAGAGAAAACAAAAGATTTTGAAATAAAAGAGAACGAATCAATGTCATACTTTGTGTCGAAAAAATTGGAAATCTTAATAATTTATCTCGATTTGAATTGTGATTTTTTCCCATATCATCATATTTCCATTATGTGTGATTTCTGAGGTTAATTATTCAAACACACTACCGTGTTCAGACTTACGGTCTCTCAAGTTTAATTGTACGAATAATTGGACGCCGTATATACATGGCCGTGTAAAAGCCAATGACAGTCAGAGAGGTTGCGTCGACATGGGACGAGTTCGATTGCGAGAAAACCGAAGCATTTCTTGACAAAGAAGAATCTCTTGAGCGTAAACTGGAACGCGAAATTATTCTTAAGCTAACAAGAATACAGTTAGGTTGTTCATTAAAGCCTTGCCTCGTGCAATCAGAGCTTTCTTGCGAATTTAGGAATGGGAACGGAACTAGGAACCGATCAATCAGTAACGTATTAGACGCCAGAATTGCACTCGTTAAAGTAAAATTTAAGTGCATGTACATATATAACTCACAAAACTGTTCAACACTTTAAAATTTTCAGAAAAGTTTTAGTTAAAAATATATTAACTTTTAAAAAGTAGAGGATATATTATTTATAATCTTTTTAATAATTATAAAAATAAATATTTTATTTTGTATGTACTCATATTCTGTTGTTTCTATTGCACAAAAAATTTCATAAAATTTTTTAAATATTTAAATATACATATATATGCATTTATATCATGGATTGGATTTTTAATTAATATATTTGAATAAAATGATTTTTTATTTGAAGCCAATAAAAATTTAAAATATGTAGTTTTTAACTTTACTTTATATTCATTTTGTTTTATTTATTTAAATTGTTTATAAATAAAATTCCATTTTGTTATTAAAGTTTAAAATAGCAGGATAGCAAAATAAAAAAATTCTTTTGCATTTTACGAAATAATTTCTGCTCATTTCAAACTGAAGATTTTTTATGTAAATTTTATCATTCGAGATTACAAATTTTTCGGTACTTCTTCGCCACAAATTTAAATTTTAGATATATTCAAACTGAATAATTTCAAAACAAAACAAACTGCAGAAAATTTGCGAACATTCAAATAAAATGTTTTATTTGGTCTATATTTATGACATTTTGTAAATATCACGTTGTATGTATCTACATTGTTTCCAAAACCGTTACAATATACTGCAAACATGTTGCACACGTTCGTAAACCAAATGTGGCTTTCCAGCTCGCCAGTCACAATCGATTTTGCGAAATTTACGGCGCGTTCCCGCAAAAGCGAGACACAAAACTGATACTCGTCTCTCAACGCGACGCTGAGCGATATCAGTTTTGGCACCGCATCCAGAACTGGTCCAGATTGAAATCGTCAGTAGACAAGACAATCCCGCTTCGAAGATTACAGCTCGCGATGGTATTGAAAATGTCAGAGTCGCTTAGCGTAAATTTAATGTGCTGACCAACATGACTTTGATTTCGTGCTAAATACAATATAATATTGTAATGATATTGTCACGATAATCTGTTGACATTTTGATCATTACATTACGTGTATAAATGACACCTTTAATAATAAAATTAGATTTGAAATTAAATTTAAAATGTAATTATATCTTTGTTGAAATTTTTTTTTATTTGCGCTTACATCATCAAATGAATAATGTAAAAACCATATATAATTTTCATTTTAAAATTGACATTTTGCGAACCACGTCGCAGTCTCAGCGACTCCTTTAACATTTGCGAACACAGTAGATTCGAAAGCGACATGAAATTTCCATTTTATTCCGTTCACATTTTTCTATTGTCACAAAATGGAACGAAATGTCTAGCACTTTGCATTTATTTACATCACTATCACACAACTAAAAGTTTTGTGGTACAATTTAAATCCAGATTACGAAAGTCTAAATTTTATTTTTAAATTTAAGTCATCTCTAACTGACTTTTTAATCAACCATATAAAGCTCTTATTCAAAAAATCTTTAATAGAATTGGAAACTGTTCATTAGAGCAACAGATTTATTTTATCATTCATAAAAATATCAAAGCATTAATAATTATTAAAATACCAAATTGGATAAATGTTACTTCAAAAGTTTGATATTTAAAGAACACAAATGAATTGAATATTCAGATACATTTCACTTTGATACTTATTGCTAAATAGACGTTACTTAAATTCCAGGTATTTACGCAACTTTTACATTAAAAATCAATCAATGCTTAATCATCGAATCTTTCGAATTTTTATGAACTTATTAAATTAAAATAGAATTAAAATTAAAAGTTTGCTACACTATATTTCGATTATTAAATCACAATTCTATACTTCGACGTTTCGGTGATTCCTTTGGCAGCTAATATAGCAAATTCGAGGGCAACGCAAAATTTCCATTTTATTGTGCGTTTGCATTTCCCGTTGGCGTTTATAAACGGACAGGGTGTCTCGGTAGCGTATTCAAAGTGCGACGGAGTGACGTGTGTTCACGAAGCGCGACGTGGTCCGCGTTATTATATAAAGAGCGGACACGCGACGTACCACGGATATGTAATTTATGAAAATACAGAAAACTTTGCAGCAAGGTCGCGCAAAATGCGAGCCGAGAGCCACATCGATCGAACGTGGAAAACTAAAGCGAAGATAGCATCGCTCACGACAAAAATAACTGTTGGAAAGTGTTATTTTTATTAGCAATCAGTCTCTTACGTTTGTGATTCAATTTTACTTCGATAAAACGTAGATCATATTTTCCAAATAAAATTGAAATTTACGAAATGTGAAATTACACAATTTTAGAACAATGAAACAACAGTCGATCGTGTGTTACGTGGAAACGTTATTACTAATATAATATTATATTATTATTATCATAATATATTAAAATTTTGTTGAAGAAAAAGAGGGATTTAAAGCTTGTAATGACGCACAATACGGGAACAAATGGTGAAGCATTATTTCGGAATACTTTTTTTTCTTTTCTCTCTCCCTCTTGAAAAGTACATTTGTTGTTAGTCCACTTGTCTCTACCTTCTTTCGCGCCTTTTATCCTAATTGGACATTCAAGAACAGCACGAAGCTTTCGGGAACATCTTTTGGATAGAACCGGAATTCTTTTGGAAGAAACTAATGGCAAGTATTCTCTCTCCTTTCTTTCCTTTTTCCTCTTCCAAATATAAAAATTTCTTGGAGATTTAAGAGCCATGTATCGCTCAACCATTTTAACAACACGCTAACAACCTCACTATGATATATCTTTATATTAAATTATTTGGCAACGGATAAAGCAGCCTTTGAGAAAGCAGCTAATATGACAAACGAGCGATATTTCAAATGTACACCTCGTTCGTCAAATTATATTATTTACGTAACGTAGCAGAAAATATAAGTTCATATTCCGCGTATAACAAGATATTTAGGATTAGACAAATTTAGATGATTTTTCTATGAGATAAAACATTGATTTATGTTCTTTTTTTCTACGTTTATATAATACACGATAATAAATTTTATTTGTCATTTTTATATCAATTTCTAGTTTTTATATTATATTATACTTATGGCGATAAAAAAAATTTTATTAATGATGAATTGTGTTAAAATACAATAAGAGTATAATCTTTCGTCTCTCACACTCCACGTATTAATATTAATTAGAAGTTCATATAAAAATAAGAGTGCATTGACTGAAGATATTAATTTTCTGAAGATTTTAATTAATCAGGATTTAAAATTTCATTCATAATAATTACAAGACATTAAAAAAACGACTCACCGGTACAACATGCGCTCCTGACGATCGGCCTCGCGATAAATCTTGTAGTACATCGCGATCATGATTATCCCTGGTACCCAGAAGCTCACACTGGAACTAACGACAGCATAGAACTTGTTGACTTGGAACACACACACATCCGGATAATTCCTTCTGTATTCGAGATGCTCGTTCGTGGTATACCATCCTGCTCAATCTCACGTTTGTCATGATTAACGGATAGTCCAGTGGTTGGACGATCGCATAATATCTATCGACGCTGATGCAGCAAAGGTGAAGGATGCTGACGGTGCTGAAGAAGACGTCCAATGAATTCCACACATCGCACATGAAATACCCGAATAACCAACGTCCAAAAAGTTCCACGGAAGCGTTGAACGTCATGGCGAACAACGCCACTAACATATCCGCCAAGGCCAGCGAAACTACGAAGTAATTGGTGATTACCCGGAGCTTGCGGTGTCTCATGACAGAGACGATGACCAATAAATTGCCGAGGAGAGCACAAAGGATGATGAATATCATAATGAAAGCTTTTAAAGATAACAAGAGGACATACTCGATATCGTGATGGTTTTTGCTGATGTTTCGCTGACCGGTGTCGAGAAGAAAAGTGCTCGGTAGATTCGCGGAGTTGTTCAGATCCGTCTCGTTAAAACCCATCTTGAGGAACTGAAGTTTTTCTCACGTTTCAACTGGCGACCGTCTTTCGACGACTTTTCTCTCGTCTTCTTTTGCTTCTTCCTTGATATGGCTGACGTGCAATCGATCCATTTACAAAAGTCAAGTTATGGTTTCGCCTAGGCGAAGTTGAAGATCTCGAAATTCTTAATTTACAATATCAAGATGATTTATTTAGAGTGTTTCGTGACTCACTTGTCAATAAGGTCCAAAAGAAAATTAGGCGAGAATACATTTCGGAAAATAAGCTTCGTTGAACTGCTTGGATAAATTGGTACTTGAGCTTCTAGACGTTTCGTATACTTGAGTTTTCTTGAGCTAATGATTGTCCGCTTCTATAAGTTCTTGCGATCATAATCATAATTGTAGATTTCTTTTCTTATATTTTGCTGCTATTATTATTTTATATAATTGTAGTTATAATTTTTTCCGAATTCCGACGTTCAAATGGAATTTTCATGCAGCATATTTTTCATAGATTTGAGTCTTCATGCAACGATAACCTGTGAACAAAATATGCACAAATATACGTAAAAAACGAAATAAATAATGCAACAATTTTAAATGTATGCAAGAGTCTTACATATTTACAAATCTTGTGTATCTACAGGTGTGTGTCTTGATTTGTGTAAGAAAATTATTTATTACTTATATTTATATTCGCAAAACATCGCAATGTGAAATATGATTTAAATTAGTAGTTCTAAATTAAAATGTACGTAGATTAATAATATTGCACAACACTGATTTTGTACAAGATATAATAGTGAATTTTTTTATTTTTTATGTATGAATTTTAAAAATAATCTCAAAGATTATCTATAATATTTGAAAGTAATTTTATTCAAATTTGATGAATATTTCAAATCGACAAAAAATAACTTACAATTAGTTAGGTATTTTAGTGATTTTCAATTTTAATAATTGATTGTTAGGAGAAACTCATTTTTGCTTGTTCTATTTAGCGTGTTAATATAACTTTAATAAAGTTAGTTAATTAAAAATTAATTAACTATTTCTATTGTTAAAGAACGCAATTCTATATTTATTCCATACAACAACAATACATTATTAAAGATAATTAAAGTTAATTACAATTTGTCTATTACTCATAGTATGACATTTCAGTGATATCATTGTTGATAAAAACATGTTATTCGCTTACACTTTGCAGTAATATAACTCTTCATCAAAGTCGGTTAATTAAAAATTGGTAAACGTTTGGTATCTGGAAATTCCAATAGTTTTATTGTTGAAAGAACTACGTTTCACGTCGCCGCATTCTCGTTTATTCGGGTAATAATACAGTTTTTTAAGACTAATTAAAAGATAATCAATATTTATAAAAACGTGATATTTATATCCTCATAATACTGTTATTAAAATTTCAAGCTTATTCTTTTTGATATATCACAATAATACAACTTTATTAAAGTCGATTTTTTTAATATAATAAATAAACGATGTCATTATTAAAATAAACATTTGGTAAATATTTAGTATAACAGACCACCCTCCGATGACCTTGACCTTAACATATGTTGTCAAGGTCATGCATGACCTTCAAAGGTTTTAGCCCGCGGCCATTTTTCGTTAAAAAGTTATTAACAAAGAAAGTTTGAAAAAATAAGCATTATTTCTGCATTATTTCTGTCATATATGCAATACTAAATACTATTTTACATAGATTCTGACTTTCAATACGAAGCGACTCTCACCCCCTTCTCCCCTGCAACGGGGCGTACGACTCTCACCTCTGACTTTCCCCCCCTTCTCTCTGCAAAGGGACGCGCGACTCTCATCTCTGACTCTCACCTCTAACTCTCACCCCTCTCACCCCTCTCCCCTCTACAAAGGGGCGCACGATGGATTTCAGTAAGCCATATGAACACTTCATGTCATCTATTGATACACATATACTGATTTCTCCGTTCCACTTTTCCCTTTGCTTCGAGATAATTCCTGCTTATTGCGCGAAGCAAAATCCACTGTATATAAAAATGTATATTAAATTATAAGGGCGCAGATAACTTTGCAGGGGAGAAGAAATGGTGAGAGTCGAAGGTGAAAGTCATACGCTCCTTTACAGGAGAGAGGGGGGGGGTGAGAGTTGAAGGTGATAGAGTCGTGCGCCCCTTTGCAGGGGGAAAGGGTAGAGGAGAGTCGCAGAAATAATGCTTATTTTTTCAAACTTTCTTTGTTAATAACTTTTTAACGAAGGACGACCGCAGGTTAAAACCTTCTGAAGGTTACTCGGGATCATGACCTTGATAACATATGTTAAGGTCAAGATGATCGGAGGATGGTCCATCATACTAAATATTTACCAAACATTTATAGACATTTGAATGATATAATTTTATTAATTACAATTTAATTATTAATTGGGAATTTTAATTCAAATTTTATTAATTTATATTTATTTATCCAAGAAAGTAAAAGATAACAATAAGAATTTCACCAATATATTAAACTAATTTTACAAATTTACAAGTTCAGTTAAGTTAAAAGTGATGAAGTTTGAATTTTAACATTTCGCGATCTAATTAAAATTTAAATTTGCAATATTTGAATTGTATTTAGAATTTAACTAATGTAAATATACTAACGTATTTGCCACTGAATAAATCGTCGTAAATATTCCAAATAATTTGAATTATCCACAGTCCATGTATTTAAATGTATTCCGGCAATGTACGAGCACATAATCCGCATTAAAAGGCCGTTGATTTACCACAGGAATATGCTTGTATGTTCTATCGAAATTGGATTTACACGAGGATTCGCGCGAGGTGCACGCAGATAATAAGTCGTGACAATACGATCTAATGCTAAAGCTATATATGTATGTCGGTCATAATAGAAACAACAAACATAAATTAACACGCGGCCGAACATACTAGTCGTAAAACGCCTAAACGCTATTTGAAGTTCTCACAATTTAGAATTTAATCGTTACTACGTCGTCCCGTGGAAATTTAATTACTATGAACGATATATAAATAAATAAATAAACGCTTTGTATTTAATAAATAAATATTTTAAAGATACGTAGATAGCGATAGAAAACATAATGTTTAATAAATGAATACGATAAATAGAAATATGTTATCGAAAATGTATCATTCTATTCATATAATACGATGATAATAATTATTGTAGATATGTTCTTCTTACTAACGTCAACATGTCTTCGAAATAGATAGAAGATCTATTCGTTTCAAAAATATAGTTCTATAAATAAGGTCATTCGTTTTAGTTGCACTCTCCATTACTTATACTTCTACAGTTATACTCATCTATGTCATTTTATATGCAGAGGGTAGAAGAAAGCATCTAAAACGAACAATTCTTACGACCAAACGTGAGAAAATCCTTTATCGCGCCGAATCGGATTGAAATATGTAGGATGATGGATTATATATTATTGACGTTTCTTGCAACGCCGCATTAAGAAATTTACCTCTCTAAGGAATTCCGATTCCACCGGCTGTTCTATCTATTTCGGTACAGGCCAGATTAAAATCGGACGCAATATTTATTTGCGACCGTAACATGAAATATTTCTTTCGATATTTATAGATCTATCCGATACAGAGTGTCCTAGATCTGTGGCGAGTTTTCATCCATGAATTTTTCAAATAAATTGTCGACTTATCTATAATTATAGGTATGTTAAAGATGAGTTGTTCATTTTTAACAGATTAAACATTTATCAATCAATATTCTAATTTAAAATGTATTTTTAATTTTAATTTTTGAAATTCAATTTTTGAAAAATCATTACAATTAAAGAATTAATAAACAAATTTTTTCAGTCAAGGTCAAGGTCATTGGAGAAGGCACCCTTTTCTTATAATAAATAATAATGAATAATAAACCAAATTATTTAATGATATAATAATTATATATTTAATCAAATAATATATATTCTTGTCAAGTATTTTATACGAATGAGGGAGAATGGAAGGAATTGCGCAAACAGGGATAAATGCGAACGATACTATTGAAGTACATTAGAGTAGTGATAACCACTTACTTCTCGCATCCAGTGATAGTCCAATATACGCTTATTGCCATACTATAACACATGACCATGGAACGCACAAGCCGTTTAAGGTAATTATCATTACATATCTTCGATGTTTTTGATGTAGAGGAGAGAAAAAGGGAATTGCAAATCTAATATATCTAAGGGAAAAGATAAATAAAGCCAACGATTATTTATCAATTATGGAAATCTTTTATATATATATATATATAATTCACAGAATATTCTCGCAATTTCCTATTTTCTACATCTAAAATATCGGAAATATGTAATGGTAATTATCTTAAACGGCTTGTACGTTCTATGGCCATGCGTTACCTATAGTGAGACACAAATTGTAAGCATATATCATTGGATGTGAGAAGTGTAAATTACGGTTATTATTATTCTATACTGCAATAGTATATACGTTCGCGCGCAATTCTTCATTCTCCTTTTTTCATATAAAACATTTATATAATAATATATTTTATTTGATTAAATAATTATACATATTATTTGATTAAATAAAACATATTTTTACATATAATTATAAATATATCATAAATTATACTTAATTATTGTTTATTATATTCATTATATGTTATCAGTAAAATTACAACTTAAAAATTCAAAACCAGATTGGGCATTACTCCGCGTGGCAACGGGTAAGTCCAAATGGCAAAAAAGGATTGTTTTTTATTTAAAACTATAAACCCGTATTCAAAGCACGCTTTTGCGATGTATTTATTTAGCATATAATTCATATTACATATACCACAGAATGTCAAACATAAAAGCGCGTATTTATCGATAAAAGTTCTGAACAAACCATAATAATGTATCTATTGATAATATATGAACGTTAATTATTAGTTTTAAGCCAAATAAATGGAGTATCTCCTTTGAATAAAATCTCTCTGTATTTAACTCTTTTTTCTTGTGTTTGCAGTTTTCCTATCCTTACCTACTTTTCTAGATTATTGCTAGATTGATTTTTACTTGTTTACAAAAATAGAGAGAAGAATGCTAATATGTTTTTAAAAAACTTTACTTTAAACTTTTACATTGCTTAAAAATAAAATTACGGACTTCTAGGTTCTAAAATTGAATATGGAATAACCTGTATGAAAGATGTACGATATATAAAATTTTCATTTGCGACGTATGGTTGGACTAATCATATTCGTGAAATGCGCGAAATGTCGCCGCTGAAATTCCAGAACTGTCCTGAAAAATTCAGCGACAGTCAACGACAATCT